TGTAATTCCTATGCATATATAGTTGTCCGATAACCGATAATAATTTGCATACTACAAGTATGTACATCCGTAATATTTTAATTTAAAATCTAATTTTGATGACCGATAATTTGCGCACTGCAATTATGTACATTCGTAATATTTTACTTTAATTAATTCATCATGTAATTTCGATGCATATATAGTTGTCCGATGACCGATAATAATTTGCGCACTACAAGTATGTACATCCGTTATATTCACTTTAATACTTTATGTAATTTCGATGCATATATATAATTGTCTCTTTGCTCAGTGCAATTTATGTAGATCCAAAATTATTTTACCTTAATTTAAAATTATTTAATTCCGATGCATATATAGTTGTCTAATGACCAATAACCAAAAATGATTTTCTTACTGTAATTATGTGCATCTGTAATATATCTTATTTTAATTTAAGATCTAATTCCAAAGCATATATAGATGTCTAATGACCTATAATTTGCGCACTGAAATTATGTATATATTTATCATGACATTTGGAGGCATATGTAATTGTTTAGCGACTAGATTCATAAAATTTTGCGTTATAATACTAATGTATTTTCAATTACTCCTTGTCTAAAATCAATTTGCGCACTTGGCGTTTGTAGATGAGAGTAGGTTAAAGCAATATAATATATAGTGCGGATATAACATTAACTGTTCCAAATGCGTTGTATTTTGTCTATTCTTTTGCTTCTTGGACCGAACCCATGTCAGCAGTATACAAAAGATATTTCTATCAACAAAGGTGAGAAACGGAAAATATTTCTACCTACATTTTAAAAAAAACATTAAACACGACTTTTAATGTCTTTTCTATTTCGTTTCAGAAGTTTATTTCCAGAAAAAGAGATTATGGATAAGATGTTGTTCACCTTGAATTTATTGTGATTTTGTGATTGTGTAATTCACTATGTATATATTTTATTGCACTTCAAATTTATGGATGTTTTATTCATTATTATTTCTATTTACTGATTCTTTTGAATTTATTACAGTGCCCAACAGGGATTCAAGCCCTAATCTAGTAGAGGACCTTTTTATCGAACTACCAGATGTCTTTGACAGTAAGCATCAGTTATAACAGCAATGGGGATTCCAACCTCTTTTTTTCAGAGATCCAGGTGTGTTTGACATTGATCATCAGTTATCAAAGCAATGGGGATTCAAACCCTATTTATCAGAGTTCCAGGTGTCATTGAYAGTGAGCATCAGTTATCAAAGCAATGGGGATTCAAACCCCTTTTTTCAGAGATCCAGGTGTGATTGACAGTGAGCATCAGTTATCAAAGCAATGGGGATTCAAACCCCTATTTATCAGAGATCCAG